CTATTTATCCTGGCCGTTGAACCTGTACTAGCATGGGTGAGGGCTAAGCTTTCAAGGCAGCTGACTTTGTCTCTCGCGTACGCCGACGATTTTTGTTTCGGCTTACGCTGTATCTTCGATGGCATCGAGCCGTTGTTCAAGTGTTTGCAGCTGCTTCATCGTGCGATAGGTCTGGCTCTCAATTTCCCGAAGTGCCAGATTCTGCTGGCTTACGAGCGTCTCAGGGACCCTCTTCGTGATTTCCTGGTTGACCTGGGACCCCGCTATCAGATGGTTGAAATTACTACGTGTCTTAAGTACCTTGGGGTCTGGATTGGTCTTGGGGCGGAGGACGTCGCGTTCACGGCATCTATCGTTGAACTCAAAAAACGGACGCGTGAGATTCGTGATCTAGGGCTTGGTCTGGCTCAATCCATTGTTCTATTCAAAGCGTTCTGTGTTTCATTATTGTCTTTCCTTTTGCAGCTGCACCGTCCCACTCGTGTTCTTGATAAAGCTTATCAATCCTGTGTCCGCCTCCTCTCCGCCGGCCCTAGCAATGCGCTTTCGTGCGACATGTGTACCCACCTTTGTGTTTATGGGTTCCCTATTGAGTTCCCTCGACTCTCGCTTGTGGCAGATGCTACTCGGGCGAGATACATTGCACGTTGTGATGAGCTGCCTCGGATTCGTGACCAAGTCGCTCGGATTTTTGAAGATGATGACTGGTGTCCATATCGGCAGTTGCGCGGCTGGTACGCGAATAGTTTCCTCACCCACCTGTTCTCTTTCCAGGACGAAGTTGCATCCCACGGCTTCCAGATCTTGTATGAGCGTAAAGATGTACAGAAGCAATATATGCGTGCGCTGAGGCCCTTCCATTGTCCCACAGTCACCCCTCATGGAGCTCTCCTTCGTCGTGCCCGTGCCTGGATCCCTGAGGTCTCCCCATCGGACATCGTCTGGATTTGCAAAGTCATCAAAGCCCTGGCCCGTCGGTCCAGTCCCTACATCCCGTTGGCCAACCTTCGTATGCTCTCCAGATGTGTTTGCACTAGTGCTCGTTTTCATGCCTCCCCTCGAGGCTGCATCCTTGGGTGCCCTAGTTCACAGACATCCCCGACCGACTTAGATGACATGCGCCACTACCTCGTGTGCCCCAGACTCCAGCAGTTGTTTGCACATTGGATGGGCCCTTGGGCTCCCTGTTCTTCTGGGTCTCCTGAGGGTTCGCCCTGGCTCCACCTCTACCTCCTTTTTCGTGGGATGGGTCCTGACCAGTGTCTTTTATGTTCTATGTTATGTGATGCTTTTCTTAGTATGCACTCTTCAGTCCGATATTGTCTCCCGGGAACCCCGCAGCAGCAATTTGAAGCCAGGCTTCGAATTCATTCGAGGAGGCACCGTGCCTGTCGTCGTGTGTGGCAGGTACTCAATCTAGAACAATGGGGGGGATAGTTGCCTCCCCTATCTTTCCAGTGGCCTGGCGCACTCTGCGTCTGGGCTCTGACAGTTGGCGGGGGGGGGGGCTCCGCGTGGGGGAACGCGGCTGTCTCGTGCCCTGCCTGTCTCTGGCAGGCAGACGCTCCTCTCGGACAGTGGGCCCCCCCTCCTCGCCACGGTGTGTCTCGAACTGCTCGACCAAGGAGTTGACCGCCTTCAACTGGGACCTCCTGGAGCCCCTTGAGCCCTCTGGGTCCAAAAAAAAAACAACCCACACACGCACACGCACACGCCCGTACGCACGCGCACACGCACGCGCACGCGCACACGCACGCGCACACGCACGCACACACGCACGCACGCGCACACGCTCACACGCGCGCACGCACATACCAACACCACACACCATACACATACACATACACACAAACAATATACAAACCACACACACACGAACACACACACGAACACACACACACACACACACACACACACACACGCGCGCCCTCCCGCCCGCCCGCCCGCACGCACGCACGCACACACGCACGCACGTGCACTGTCATCCGGCGGGCTTCGGCGTCAGATCGTTCTGCCCATCTGCAGGTGCCTCTCGGCCGCGCGGCGCGGTGCGTCTGCCGCCCCCGCCCGTCCCGCCTTTGCTCCCGTGCGGGGCAGCGGCGGCCGAGGCGCTGAGCCAGCCTCCGCGCCGAGGATCGCCGCGCGTTGCCGGCCAGGAGGTTTTTGCTTGCCAGGTGAGCCCGTTCCGCGGTGGACAGAACCCCACCCTGACACGCGTCGATTAGTGAGTCGCCCGTTTCCGGTTCTCGAGGGGGCGCCGCGGCCATCAGCTTCCAGGCCTGCGCCCGCCAGGCTTGGGCCCGAGGTGGTTTTCGCTGAACCGCGGTTTGCTAGAGGGTTTTTGTCCATTTCCGACCCGCAGCGTCCGTTGCGGAGGGTCGCACCCCTGGGGTGGCCCCCCTCCGCGCCCTCCCCGCAACTCTCGGCGGAGGGCCGCTGAGACGCTGAACGCGGGGGGGGGGGGGGAGCCCTGGTCGCCACGGCCGGACGCAGGTCGGACAGGTGGTGCGTCTGGACCCAGCGGGGGAAATCTGGGGACCGATGTTGAGCCGATCTCGATTTTCCAGTGTGGCAACTCGCCCTTCTCCGAGTTACGGAGGGTCGCTACCCTGGGTCCCCTTACTTCCCACCCTCCCTGCAACTCGAAGACGAAAACACATATCTGTACCGCCTATCTGTACCCGCCGCCTCGCGGGCCAGGCTCTTGGGCTGCGACCCCGCGGACACGGGGCGCATTTTTGGGATGCACCGCGCGGAGCGTATTCGTGCGACCGCGTATCCGCGGGGTCGCGCTTGTGAATCCAGACCGCGAGGGCGCGATGGGAGGGGAGGGGGCGGAGCCCAGACAGGCATGGCGCGGTGCTCACAGGCATGCTGTGGTGCTGCCGCCCTGGGCCCTTTTACCCTTTGCCCCCTCTGCCGTCGTTGGCGCCGTCTGGGCCCACGTCGGTGGGCCGGTCTCGCACGGCCGCCCCGAGGAAGCGCGCGAGGGAACAGACGGAAAAGGGGGGGAGGGGGGGGGGGGAGGGAGGGGAGGGGGGGGGGGGAGAGGGAGGAGAGGGAGGGAGGGAGGCAGTGGAGGCAGTGGGAGGGATCGGGAGGGGGGGGAGGGGCGGCACACGCAGGGGGGCAATCCCTGCGCCGCGCTGCGGGGGGCCCTGGGACCTGGCTGCCCACCCTTGGAAGGGGACCCCGCTTGGGGGGGCCGTCCCAGGGAAGCGGGGGCTTTTCGCCCCTCGGGCCCAGCGCCCCCCGCCTACGCCAGGAAGACCCTGGGGTCCCGACCCTTCCCCCTACGGGAGGGGCAGGAGGAGGAGGAGGAGGAGGAGGAGGAGGAGGAGGAGGAGGAGGAGGAGGAGGATGAGGAGGAGGAGGGGGAGGGGGAGGTGGAGGAGGAGGGGGAGATGGAAGACTGTGAGCGGGCTGATTGGGGCGGGGGGACGGGGACACAACAGTTGCGCATCAACGCAACTGTTGTGCCCAGATAATCCGGAATCGTTCCCAAACACAATTTCTGGTACGTTACCATGAGAGTCAGTGAAACTCTTGCGACTGTGTAAAGCGAACGTGTGCGGCGCTAGGGCGAGAGCCACATTTTGAAAACGAGCCGCCCTCAATCCGTGAAACTCTTGCACTTCTTAAAAACGAATGTGCGCGGCACTGATGCGAGAGCCACTGTTTTGAAAAAGACACGCCCTCAACCCGTGGAATATTTTCAACTTGTTATAACGAATGTGCACGGCGCTATGACGAGAACCACAAATTGAAAAGGAAACGCCCTCAGACCGTCAAGCTCTTGCACAGTCTACAACGAATGTGCGCGGCGCTCAGACGAGAGCCACGTTTTGAAAACGACACGCCCTCAACCCGTGAAACTCTTGCACTGTTTAGAACGAGTGTGAATTGCGTTCAGACGATAGCCACGTTTTGAAAACGACATGCCTTCAACCCGCGAAACTCTTGCAATGTTTAAGAACCGTGTGCACGGCGCTTGGACGATAGCCACATTATGAAAACAGCCCGCCCTCAATCCGTGGAGCTCGTGCAAATGTTCGGAACGCGCGAGAACCACATGTTGCAAACCACCCGCCCTCAATCCGTGGAACTCTTGCATTTTTCGAAACGAATGTGCGCGTTGCTCAGGCGGGAGCCACATTTTGAAAACCACCCACTCTCCATATGTGAAGCTGTTGCCATTTTGTCAAGCCTCAGGGTCATAGATGGTGAGGAAGTCTCAGGCGAAACGCCTGGCCCGCCCTTTCGACCGACCTCGGGGTGCGACAGGGAGGAGTTATCTAGAAGGAAGAGGAATGGAGGAGGAGGAGGAGGAGTGGGAGGGGAAGGAGGGGGACGGGGTGGAGCAAGAAGGAGAGGGGGAGGCTGGCTGCTTTCCCTCCCTGACGTGCCGTCCCAGGCTGTGGGCGTTCCACCAGCAGAGAGCCCTGGAGGACGCCGACCCGCAGAAGAGCCCGTCCAGGACGGCTTCGCGGGTCGGGCGCTGTGCCCCGTCATGGTCCGAACGCGCAGTCCCATTCGCGGCCCTACCCGATTTCTGCTGTAATCCTAGTCCCACCTTGCACTCCTAATGTTCATTTCTATCCGCAGTCCTAGTTCGATTCGGAGGGTCAGTCCTCTTCCCGATCGGTTCGCTCTGGCCGACATGGCAGTCCTGCCACGGACACGGTCTCATGGCAGTCCTACTCCTGGACCAAGTGTCCGTCTCAGACCCAGCCCGAGTGCTAGCCCCTGCCTTAGCTCTGGTCATGGTATCGATCCAGCCCTAGTTGCATGTCAGTCCCAGCAAAAGTGGTACTTTCAATGGCAGTCTGATTCCTGAGCCTTCCCCTGGCCTTGGGCATCGGCTTATTCTCCGCACTCGTCTTCTCGTCCTGCTGACCTCACATGTTCGACCTCAGCCCGCCTCGTCCTCCTGATGTTTCTCCTTTTCTCCTTCATCCTTGTCTCGCCGACTTGCAGCAGGGAGGGCGGCGAGAAGACCAATGCCGGCGGCCAGGGAAGTACTCCAGAGGGTGGCCGAACTGTTGGGCGCCATTGTCCTCAAGCTGCAGCCGCAGGCCGACGGGTGGGCAGGGAACCAGAGGCGAGCCGTGTTAAAATCCATGAGTTGTTTGTTCCGAGTGCCTCTACATACAGTGGGGGACCATGACAAGAAACACCCTACGTTTCGTCAGGGTTCCCTGGGTTTCTTTGGCCGGCGCTCGGCGCGGATGGCCGCCGCACTCTCGACGAAATCGCGCATGTCAGGGCACCATGGGTTTCTTGGGCGTCGGCCAGTTTCGGAGCGCGCGCCCGAACCTCCAAGAAAATGCTGGGCGTTCGGGGTACCTTGGGTTTCTGTGGGTCTGGCTTGTGCTCGTTTGTTGTCCATCCGTGGCAGCTTCTCTATCGCTGGCATTCGCCCAGTGGTCTTCGCTAGGTAATCATCTGGCATTGCGCCCCATTGCCCCATTCCGCCCTCTGGACTTTTCCTTGCGGGCCGCAAATAAAAAAGTACCTTGGGTTTCGTCGCCCGCCACTCGGGCGCACAGTTGCTTTTTCCCCCCGAGGAGAAGTCGCGGCCTTTCTGTTGGTGCAGTGCCCGTCGCTCGCATGCTCGATCGCCTTGGGCTTCTGGATGTCAAACTGCTTGACGCCATCCGTTAAGAATCAACGGCATTCAAAAACGCCCCTACCCTGGTTTACGAGGCGCTGTGCGCTGAAATTCCTGTGGGCTGACAGGGTAAAACCTGCGTGATGTGCCACGTCTCGGCGGCTCTAGACTTTGGAGGTTCCCAGGAGGTTTACAGACCACGCACTTGTAACCCAGGGTAGGGTCGTTTTTTTCGTCCCTCAAAAGAAACCGCTGAGGCCAGGTTGCTCTGGGTTTCTTCGTTCGCAGCCGATGCGCAAGAGACCCAACCCTGGATCAAGAAACCCTGGTGGACTTCATGGTTCGGTGTCTTGCGCTGGGTTTCTTGTGCTTCGACCCCCACTGTATGTCGCTTGCAAAGGGCTTAGGTTCTAGCTTGCGTGTAGTCGCCTACGCTGGCCTCCTACTCGCCCTGGACATCTGGCAAACTCGAATCACGGCGCGCCTCTATTCCGCGTTATTATTACCTCCCCTTCCCCTTCTCTGCTGGACGGAGGGCACCAGCAGTTCCCAGGGCTTCCTTCCCTCCTCCTCCTCCTCGCACACCCCTCTGCCATCTCCCCCTTCTTCCTCGCCCGCCCCCCCCGAAGATGTTTGTCCCAATTCGTGTCAAGGACTCCCCGTCCCCCGCAGTAGCAATTGCACCAGGAAAATTTGCCGAGCAGAACACACCATACATCGCCGCTCCGAAAGTTCCTTGGATTTTCTGAGTAGGGCCGGGTGGCATTGTGTGCCCACCAACTTCGCGGCCCTCTTGGCAACGGCCCCCGATAGGGTTGAGGGGCAGGATTCGTTGAACTCCTCTCCCCCCCTAGACGCCTAGCAAGATAGCCCTCTTGCGTGGTTTCGGCGGGATACTTGGCGAGTAGTTCCCCAGTTTAATAAGATAGTTTTAGTCCAGCCAACCATATATCCTACCCGTACAACATGGGGTCCGGATAAATCCCGCGGTGGGACCCAATCCCGCCAATGTATGACGTGTTCGGGCCATCTTGAAGTCATCTTGAAACCATCCTTAGGTCATCTTAAGATCATGTTGTTGTACTCCCGGAATGCTCCGGCCACCTCGGGGTCGTTCGGGGGCCACCGCACCTGGTCTCCAGGGCATCGCTCACATCTTGGGCCATCTTGGATTCGCCCCCAGGCCATTTCGACGCTGCGTCTGGATCCTGCAGGGGCCACGGGGTCTTCCTGGGGTCGGCCCGAGGTCATCTTCGTGCCCGTCTGAGCCCGTCGCGGAACCATCTTGGGGCCATGGGTCGTCTGGGTCGTCTGGAGGTCTTCCGCGTTTCCAAGGAAACTTTCGTTACGCCGGAGTAGGGGCGAACCTACCAGTGACCTCTTTCGCCTCCCTCCTTCTCCCCCGTCCTCTCGGAAGGTGCTCCTCCAGCGCATGCAGGAGTTCGACAGTTCCGAGGTCATGCAGCGCGTCGCCCTCGCGGCCATCCACGCCAACGCCCAGCTGCGGCTACAGCCGCCGACCCAGCGCGGCCCGTCGCGCTAGCTTCGCCCCGCGGTCTCCGGGGGCATTCGCCCCGCGGCGATTTGTTTCCTGCTCGTGGAGACCACTGGGGGGCCAGATATGTCCAAACGTTCTTGGAGGTTCTCAACAAGGTTCCCAAGCGTTTCCGACGTCTACAGTCGTTGCGAGGGAAGGCTCCAAGAAGGCAGCCGCGGAATTTTCCCGAGGTCTTCGAGATACTAACAATAAGGGGGTTCTCACACGCCGGGGGGGGGGTCCGAGCAGGCGCCCTGCTGTTTACCCCCCGCTGCCTCCCCTCCTCCTCCTCCTCCTCCTCCTCCTCCTGCTCCTCCTCCTCCTCCCTCCTCCTCCCTCCTCCTCCTCCTCCTCTTCCTCCTCCTCCTGCTCCTCCTCCTCCTCCTCCTCCTCCTGCTTCTCCTCCTCCTCCTCCTCCGCGCCTTGCTGTGTCCGAGGCTGGGCTGTATCCGCATCTGCCACCCGGGAAGCCGATCTTTGTGGGCCCGGGGAGGCGGTGGGTACGCATTGATCTCCTCCTCGCCCCTCCTCCTCACACCTCGCACCTCGCACCTCGCACCTCGCACCTCCTCCTCCTCCTCCTCCTCCTCCTCCTCCTCCTCCTCCTCCTCCTCCGGTGGACGGCTCCCTTGCTGCTGCCGGCCGCTGAGGGTGCGGCCTCGTCGCCCGACGCGGTCCCAATGCACCCGGCGTGGGGCCGCGCGTGCGCGACCGGGGCGCGAGGAGGGAGAGGGCACCCCCCACGGGTCTTTGAGAGCAGGTCTGTCTTGGGACTCCCAGGCGCCAACCTCCTGGCATCGCTCGGACGTGTGCATTTTTTCCTTTGGCGAGGACCATCGAGGAGCATCCTTGATCATTTGGCGAAAAAGCCGCGCACGAAACCGAAAAAAAAACGCAGGGAATGGACGTCCGAGCGATGGCCAGATCTACTTCAGGCGCATCCCTGCTTCAAGGATCGAAGGGCTTCACCTTCTCCGTTCTCCTTCGGGGGCGGGCGGGCACCCGATCTTTTTTCGACGCTTTCCTGCTTCGTGTTTCTGCCTGCTGATTCCGATCGACGTGTGCCGATACCGCAAATGATCCTTGACTCGCTGTCGACTATTTGGGCCTCCTGGGAGGCCATCGTCGCCTCGGCTGGGTTCGCCTCGAGATTCCTCGGCCATAAGGCACCAGCAGCGGCATCGGCATCTTCTGAGTTCACCACGTCTAGAGTTTTGCGCTTCCCACGTCGCCTCAGGGCCACCTATCTTACAGTGGAGATCCATGCCAAGAAACACCCTGCTTGCCTCCAGGGTGCCATGGGTTTCTTGGGTTTCGATGGTTCTGCCATAGAAAGCCTGAAGTCCCCACGCCAAACATCAATGGAAGTCCTGCACATGGGGTCTCAGGGTTGGGTTTCTTGTGACAGGTTTCTTGTGGTCGGACCCCTATTATAAATCAGGACACTGCTAAGGAGGACTCTGAGAAATTCACCCTGGGAGACTGAGAAGCACGGTGAACGCTTCGGCCCACGGCTGCGGTCTTCTCGTGCGCGCCAGCGTCCTGGATTCTGTCAGAAGCCCACATTTCCTCCTCCTCCTTCTCTTCCTTCTTCTCCTGCTCCTTCTCCTTCTCGTGGCCCTGATCCTCCTCCTCCTCCTCCTCCTCCTCCTTCTCCTACTCCTTCTCCTTCTCCTCTCCTCCTTCTCCTCTTACTCCTCCTCCTCCTCCTCCTCCTCCTCCTCCTCCTCCTCCTCCTCCTCCTCCTCCTCCTCCTCTTACTCCTCCTCCTCCTCCTCCTCCTCCTCGCCCGCACGCGCGAGAAAAAACGGAACCGTGTGTTCGCCCTCTTCCGTTCCCTCCTCTTCCTCCTGCTCCTTCCCGCCTCCTCCCCGCCTGCCCCCCTGGCCTCGGCCGGCGCCCGCCGAGACTCGCGGTGAACTACGCCGGCAACAACGTCGTCGCCGCGGCGGCCTCGGCGGGCGCGCGCGCGCGACTGGCCCCCGGCGGCCTCCTGCTGGGCAGCACAGCCTTGGGGGGCGACGATAGGGGGGGGGATGGGCATCAGGGGGGAGGCATCGACCCTCAATCGCCCATTGATCGCCAATAGGGGCCCGATGGCCCCAACCTGCCCAGGAAGGTGCGGATGCACTATCGGGGGCCTATCGCCCATCAACCGGCGATGTATCGCCGATTCCAGGTCGATGCATCGCCCCCTGTGCCAGTCCCCCCCTATCGTTGCCCCTGAAGCCTGCCCGGGACCAGCGTGGCGGCGTGTAGGCTTCCGGCCGGATGGCCTGTAGGAGTGCGTCCCGACATGTTCAGCCACGGGCAGGAGGTCGTCAGAGGTGATGGCGGCAGTCTTCTGCCGCTGTGGCGGGTCTCCGAATGAGTGAACCGCAGGTACCGATACCGCTTCCCCTCCCTCGTATTCCGTATTCGCCTTTTTCGGGCCTCGGGGCAGGCCCTCGTCGCCACCGCCGGATTCGCCTCGAGAGTCTGGTCAGAACGCACCCCGGGAGGCCCGGGGAGCAGCGGTATCGGTACTACCTTCGCCGGCTTCCTCACCCTCCCCCCCGTCCCTTCCGAGGCGCGGGATGACCGCCCAGTGGACCGCCCTCTCTCAGGAAGACGCAGAGACATAATGAATTGTCGATTCCCAGGAAAGTGTAAGAAAATCGTTTGGGAAGTGGGGGGAAGACGGAAACCCAGAAACCGTGGGAACAGATGGGGCATCCTGGGATTTGTGTGCATTTCTGTGTGTGTATGTGTTTGGGCTTATGATGTCCCAACCTACTTCAGCCTTAATCATCAGAACAATTTTTGAGCGCCAGAAGAAAAAAGTACCGAAACTCGAAGGTTTTCACGTGCCGGGCCCTGGGAGACACTCGTCCGACATTGTCCCCACTTTCTTTCGACACTCTTCTGGGTGCTCGAAACTGTTTCTGGGATGTGGTCCTTCTTAAGTACGATGGGGGCAACAGAAGCTTGGGCCCCTTTGCTCACCCCCGTCCTCTCCCCCGTCCTCTCCCCCGTCCTCTCTCCCGTCCGCCCAGTGAATTGTCCGTGCTCGGTTCTCGAGAGGGCGCCGCGGCCGTTCTTTTTCAGGCTTGCGCCCGCCAGGTTTGGGCCCGAGGTCGTTTTCACGAAACCACGTTTTACTAAAGAGAGGTCTGTCCATCCCCGATATGTGAGTGTGTATGTTCTTGGGCCCCGTTGCCCACCCCCGTCCTCTCCCCCGCCCTCTCCGCGGCGGGGCTTCTGGAACATCTAAGAAACGTACAAGAAAATTGTATGGGAAGTGGGGGGCGAAGACGAAAGCCCAGAAAAACTGTGGGAACGGATGGGGCATCCTGGGATCCGTGTGCATTGTTCTGTGTGTGCGCGTGTATGTGTGTGTGTGTGTGTGTGCGCGTGTATGTGTGTGTGTGTGTGTGCGTGTGTGTGTGTGTGTGTGTGTGCGTGTGTGTGTGTGTGTGCGTGTGTGTGTGTGTGCGTGTGTGTTGGTGTGTGTGTGTGAGCGTGTGTGTGCTTTGGCTCCTTTGCTCGCCCCCGTCCTCTCCCCCGCCCTCTCCCGCGGCGGGGGGGGCTTCTCTGGCCGGGGGGCCACGCCGCCCGGAGGCGCGCACGCCGCGGGGGGGCCTCGGCGGGCGGCGCGGGCGCGGCGGCGTGCGGGGTCCCCGGGGGCCGAAGTTCGGAAGGGGCACCGGCCGTACCATAAAACGACGCGAAGATCGGGACAAAATCGGATCGGGATAAGTCGAAGTCTCTGAGAGTCGGCGGGTTTGGAGGATGTATTGGGCGCCGCGGCCGCTCCAGAGCGTTCCGGAACGCTTTGAGAGCGCTCCGGAACGCTCTGGAGCGATTTATCCCGATCTCAGCCCTGTTTTAGTACACCAGCACCGATCCTGGCCAGGATCTGCAGCTCGCTGAGGGGCAGCGAACGCGATCTGTGGTTCTGGGGCGACGGGGGAGGAGGCAGTGCTCGTAGGGCAAGAGCAAGCCTAAGCAGCGCAGTCGTCGGTAAGAGCAAACCTGAGGTCCGAACTTGTCGCGAATGGGTGTCGTAAGGGTTCTTATTGACGGATCAAGCGCGAAGGCTGAGCGTATTGGACCTGGCTCTGGAAACAACGATATTCCAACCTACTTAGCCTTGACCACCAGGAAGAATTTCGAGCGCCCAAAGAGTACCGAAACGCCAGGGTTTTCACGTGCCGGGCCCTGGGAGGCACTCGCCCGACACTGCTTCGACACTCTTTCGGCATTTTTCCGGGTGCTCGAAACTATTTCTGGGATGCGGTCCTTAAGTCGGACGGGAACAACATAACCTTGGACCCCTTTGCTCACCCCCGTCCTCTCCCCCGTCCTCTCTCCCGTCCGCCCAGTGAATTGTCCGTGCTCGGTTCTCGAGAGGGCGCCGCGGCCGTTCTTTTCCAGGCTTGCGCCCGCCAAGTTTTTAAGTAGGACGAGAACAACATAACCCTGGCCCATGATCGGTGTGTACGCCTCCCTGCCTCTGGCAGGAAGCCGTCTGCACCGATCCTGGGCCCGGGATCGGCCTGGCCCAGGATCGGTGTGGGTGCGCAGTGGGTGCCCTCCATCGAAGCGCATCCATACCCGCCGCCCGCCAGGGTTCCAGGGCATCGGCTCCCCAGGTGTGCAGGATGGGAAACACACAAGTAATCGTCGACTCAGGAGAACCTGGGAGAATAGGAAGTTGGAGCGCGGAAGACGAGGACCCAGAAGATACGGGAAGATCTGGAGAATCTTGGGATTTGTGTCATCTATTATTTGTGTGTCCCCCGGCCCCTTCAAAGGGGTGGATATTGATCAATACCCGCCACGCGTCTTCGCCCATCCCAGCGGAGACCCAGGTCCCTTGCGAATCCCTCCGCGTCTGGAGACCAGGCCCCAGGGAGCTTTTTTTCCATAGCGGGGCGAGCCTGGAAACGCCTGGCGCGGTTTCGTTTGGGGGCTTTTGGGGAGATGTCCATCGATCTATGTTGAGGAGCCCTCGGGACTATATACAATCGAGGTAGTCGTCGATGAGATTTCTGAGAGGAGGTCTCGGATGACGTCCTTTGGGGTCGGCTTCTCACCCTGGTGTCTTTCGTACCTCCTCAAAGCTCAGCGGCCGCTGGGTGGCTGTGTCGACGTTGCAAAACAGCAAAACGGTGGGTTAGCCATGATGTCGAATAACTTGGCTGCCCACTGCTGCCTGGTAGGTGCATCGCAGTATGTCATTATGACAACCCCTTGTATTCGCAGCGTCGTCCCATGAATATTCATGCAATGCCCCAGCATGGTTTTGGCATTCGCGCCTTTTCCAGGAATGAGCTCTCGACGTCTGCGGGCGATGCGGCGGTCTAGTTGAGCTCGAGCGGGCGAGATTGGGACTCGCGACCGCCAAGGGGGCGTGCCGAGGTTGTTATCGGGAGCGTGCAGATGTTGCTGCAGCGCTACGAGGGGCCCACGGTCGCTGCCGCGCGGCGCCCCACCCCTGGGGGGGGGCCAGTCCGAGTATGCCATCCCCTTTCTCGTGCGCATGAATCCTCCCTGCTCTTCGTCCTCGTGCTCCGTCGATGCAGTGAGGCTTGCGACCCGCTTGCCCACCAGGGGTAAGCAGCGACACCTCCTCCATCGAACCCCTCTCGACAGAATCGTCGAGCAGGCCCAGGGAGAGAACTTCTTCCGCCACGATCGAACTCCTGCTCGTGCTCCGCTTACTCTCTTCCCCAATCCTCCTCCCCCACCTCCTTCTCTTCCTCTTCTTCCTCCTCCTACTCCTCTTCCTCCCCCTCTTCCTCCTCCTCCTCC